TCTTTCCCTTGTTTTTTGAGTTCTTTTGAACAGAACAGAAGTCCTGGCTTCTGGAATACTGCAAGCCAGTGAGACATTGCAGACACATGCCCAGGGACTGCCCACTCTCATGGTCCGGCAGGCCAATTTTCTGTCTTTCCACTCACTCCTGGCTGCCATCTCCTCCTCCTCCTCTTCACAAGTGCAATCCAGTGAGTCTCCCTCATCACCTTTATTCATCCCCACAAGAGCAGGGGTTTTTACATACCTAACCCTTCCCTCATATCCCACTTTCTCCATGCCAGAGGCTTGCCATATTCGCTTTTCTCTCCACAACAGCATTTCTAAATCTCTCCACCCCCCTCACACCAGGGCAACAATAAATCCTTCTTCGCCTACTCCCTCCCTGCCAACGCGCCCTGATCCCCAGGTGTTCCCCCCTGGCTTTTCCCCGCTGATCAGCATTTCTGCCCCCACGCTGAGGTTCCCCAGCCCCCCTTTATGGCAGGTGCTTTGCTGTAACCTCCAGGTCACAGCCTCTGCTGATACCAGAGACAGATACAGAAGCACTGAACAAAGAGCAAACCCTCTTGTACCCCCCACCCCTCTATTTTCCTTCTGCTTCACAATTTTCCCCAAAATTCACAAGTTTTTTGCCCACCGACATGCTGTGCCTCCTTCCATGTTTCACAACTCAGTTTTGGACTCTGCACCGGCACTGCTCCACAGCAAAGATTGCTACCCAACTGAGCATGAAGCCTTGCAAGCTTTGCCAATTAGCACTCCTCCTACTGCTTCTTCCCTGACATGCATCTGCTTGCAGCGTCTGGGGAGGTGCCTTCGACGGTTGTCCAGAGGGCTTTCTGGAGGGCTACCAGCATGCTGGAGGTGCCAGCCTCTCTGACAGCTGCGTCTAACTCCCACTGATGCGCTCTTTTCTTCGAGTTGGCCACCCCAAAGAGTGTTTTGCCTGTGTTTGCAGTCAACAGACATACAGAAAGCAAACCCTATCAACCAAGCATTTGAATCTAAGGTAGGGACTACTTAGAGATGATAGATTTCTGGAAATCAAATTTTAAAAGGCTGGGGGTAATTAAGGAGTTTGGCTTTTTGGGTTGCACACAGAGGTTCAAAAAAATCCAGAATGGAAAAAAAACCCTACCTGAAATATCCACAAATTACTTATTTATTAAAACACAACCATACGTACTTTAAGAAAGAGAGCTGTATCATGCATAATTTAGTTGGCATACAGACAGTACTGTTGTGTCTTTCATAAGCGTGAAATAAATAAGCATAAATTACCTAATTTGAATAACACCAAACACCTGATTCCAGAGACGGAGCAACACTTCACGCTAAGGCATGTAAGTGCTCTTGGCTTGTTGACGTTTCACCAGAGCAGAGAAAAATTAGCAAGCTGAAAACTGAAATTCACATTGTGGCTTGTAGACAAACACCCATGGTACATCCACAGGGCTCGTAAACAGCACTGATGATATGCTGCAGCTACAGAGGAGACTCCCATTGCTACACAAAACGCCAGGTAAATGAACATGAGATACCTATACATGTTCTTTGCGATGTCGGCAACACAAAATTCAGTAACAAGAACAACAGTGAGCTTGGCAGCCTGTATCTTCATAGATTGGAGTCCTTTTAATTTCTCCCCAAAATTTTCTAACAGACCTTGGAAAAAAACCCCACAACTTTTTTGCTTGAACATTTCTGTTTTCCCACTCATAGCTTCATATCTCTAACTATACCGTAAACATGTGATTGGAAGGCTTCTATTTTAATTAAAAAAAATTCTTTAAAAGGCACTTCTGGTAACTTTATCTCCATGTCACATGAGGATTCACAGGGAATTTTCCTCCTACAATTTATTTGTGCTGAAACCAAAGCTTTCAAATTTTGACAGATATCATAGTTTCTCACATTTCTCAAAAAGTGTTTTGATTAACTGCAAATAATTTATCTTCCAAGCACAAATTCCTCTGGTGCAGGTCTGAGTCATGGTTCTTTCCTTTGCTGGAACTGGAAAGGCAGGGTGAAGGACCCTCTGTAACAGAGGTTGAACTAGCTCTGCTTTAAATTTGTGACGTATTTCCTTCACTTGTTGCAACCTTCAGCATTTTGCCCACCCATCTCAAAACAGGCATCCCAGTGAAATGAGACAGGACACCAATGCAACAGACATTTGCAAGTCTAGCCAAGCTGTGCAGTGCTCTCAAATGCAATGTAGGGAAGATGAAATAAAGCGTCTTTCAGCTTTAAAAATGGAAAGCAGTGTTTGCAAAGAAGTCATAGGCACTGCCATGAGACGGCATGAGGCTTCTTTCCTCCTATGGCTTCAGCTTCAGCTTTCAAACTGGCCATGGAGCATAAGCATGGCTAGATCTGACCCAGTGTCTCCTTCAACATCACACATGCCTCCTCTTCTCTCCTCTGCACAACCAGGCAATGCAAGTAGCTTTCGTTTACCCTGAGGAAAGAAACCCAAACATTATCAACAACATTGTACTTACTGAGTTCAGCAATGCTCCCCACACGTGTAGCAAGTAAAGACTGTTCAATGGTCCTTAGCTCTGACTGGCTGAACATCTGCACTTCCCCGGGCTTGTTTGACCTTGGCTGGTCTTTGTGAAGGTTCAAGCTGTCTGGCAGGCAGAGAACACCTACAGTGGATAAAAAGAAAGGAGAAGTCCAATGTAATTTCAGCCAGTATGGATGACTTTGCTGCCACCACGACATCATTTTGGTGACAGTCCAAGACAAAGCCCATATGTGCAGAGCTCAAACATAATCAACATCTATAACTCAATGTCACAGATGACTCATGCTCTCAGAAGTGGCCCTCGTTAGCTCTTCTGAATATCCTCAAGTCACTTAGGATGTCAATTAGAGATAATTCTTACAGAAGATCCTAGAGAACTGCCCAAGGAAGAGGTCAAGAGCGTTCGAAAGAAGCCTCCTAAAAACTACTCCAACCTCATACAAATGTATTAGAAAATGGTATATCTTAGTGACAGAATTCTTAAAGATTAGCTTAAAATTATGTATGGGACAGGCAATACATTTACAGCATTTTGCTGTAAGGGGAATTCCATTGACAATTGCCAAAATAACAGACAGCATCAAGATGCTTGCAGTGTCATTGACGGGCTTATTGAACTTCTTTTGTAAATACAACTCCTGGCATTTGAACTGCTTGGGCTTCAAAAGTCCATTATGCAGAAGCCCTTACAGCTGTGAATTTTTGTGGAGCAGGACATAAGTAAAGCTACTGACATAAAATAATTTACATACACATTCATTCAGGCACAAAAGTCAGTTTCTTCCATGACATCTAAACCCTCAGGCATAGACAGAGGACACATGTTTATTACTCAAAATCACTGTCATGCTAAAAACCCAGAACTTATTTACAAGAGCAAATGCTGCATTACCATCCTTGGGTAAGAGATGCATGGAAGTCCAGCTTGGAGAGCAAGCTGTCCTCCCTCCCTGTGGTCTATAAACAGACAGCTACAGCCACGCTCTCCACTGCATCACCTTCTCAGTCCTGCTGGGACACACACAGGTGGAGACCCGTTGTGGAATTGTACCTCTTTATGATAATTAAATTTCATCTTCTCTCCAATTGTGTGATATGCAACAACTACCTTCGAAAAGAAGGCAGAGTAGGAAATGTATTTTTTCTACTAGCTTTCACTACTCCTTCCTTTTAAGCAAAGGGAAGAGGTTCTGTCCTTATAGACCAAGCAGACTTTACAAAATACATTAAGGAAGAGGTACATAGTTTGTGTTTTTCTTCAGGGGGAAGAACTTATCTAGTTTCCCAGCTCAGTAAATACATGTTGTCTAACTCTACTGATCAATAATTCTACCAATAGGTACAACATTGGAGGTCCCAGACAGCATGGCCACCTTGATCCCTCTTTACTTGTTAATGAAACAGCCCCACAAACATCACTGCATTGGAACATAGCAAGACCAGGTAACATGCCTGAGAGGAGATGCCTCTCAGCCACCTTGTTAGCTCCACCAAACTGCTTTGGATTCCCTCCTCACATCCATCTCCTCCCTGCAAACAGTTTAGTTTAAAAGTTATACTTCTAGAATGGACCTAAGAACACCCATCCTGGGAGGAGAGAGATGACACAGGTTCAGTGAGCATGTTCAAAACAAAAAGCAGGGATATATACCCGGAAAACCAGGACCAAAGGTCCTGTCCACCATGGCTGGAAAACAGCAACTAAACCAGGATCAACCTCTGTGCACAACAGCAACACCAGAACAAACTCCCTAACAGCCTGTTTGAATGTTGGAGATAGAGGAGCAGGAGCAGCCTTAATTCCAGCCGTGGCTCCAGTCTTGGAGTTGTAACAACCAAAAAAAACCCATATGCACGTGTGGAAGGCCACAAGAGAGGAACACAACTAGCAAGGAAGTGCCCTGGAGAGAAAGAGCAGGACACAGCAACAGGGAGGAAAGAATTAAAAGCAGAGAAGTAAGGGATAAAAGCAACAACAGCTTATCAAACAAGCTCTCCAAATTCTCCTGCCATCGCTCAGTGGCTGACTTGCATAAGCAGTAGGTGCACTGATCAACATTAATATTCTGGGGATGTACAGAGTTCAAGAAGTACAACACCTGGATTTAAAATGCAGACTTGCCTGCATATTTTAATAAGTATTCTCTCTTGGAAATCTTCCTCATTTATTTAGATTATTCTTTATAATTTTAACAGATAGAAATTAAGGCAAATTGGAAGACTCTTCCCTGCAGAAAACAGATGTGTAACTGATCTAATACTTGAAGAGATTTTTACAAACAAGAAATAGAGCACAAACAGCTTTGTGGCACCTTTAAAAAATGATATCCAACAAGAAAATCTTTTTGAGTGAAAATACACCTTAAGTGTGGAAAAAATGCTGTTTTAAGATGCCTTTAGAAATGAGAGTCAAATGGTTTAAAATCATAATATGTATAGGAGATATTTCTCCAAGTGATTAAAGCAGTGAGACATAGACATTTTATCCTCTACTTTGTCTATGATTCCATTCCCACAGCCAGGCCTTTTCCTTACAAACAGCCCTGATGATTAATTACTCTGTTCTTGAGCGGGAGGAGTGTATTCTTAGGTTCCTGGATGAAAAGTGCAAATGAAATGCAAAATGCGCTATTGTTCAAAAACTTAGCAAATTATAGGATATGTCATGCCAATGGGTTTTACTTGGGTTGGAGATTAGTAAAGACATGCAATGGCCAAACATCTAATACTTACATGCCAGCTTCAAAACTATAATTGACCACAGCGGGTGACCAGTGGGGTGATGGAAGATTTGTTTGTACCTCTCATAATTTTGCTGGATCAGGTCTGGTTTCCGCCAGTATGGAGAGAGGGAATTCTAGGGCTTGGGCACACGACGCGGCCAATTTTCTAGCTTCAACTGTTTTCCCCAAAAATTATTAAAGAAAAGTGAATAAAACGCTTTTTAGATGAAAAAACCTGCTCTCACTTTATCAGTGTTTGATGTAAAGCTCAAACTCGCTGACGAAAGACTATGTCAAGGGATTGTTCCCTGGCAAGAACAGAGCACACCAAATGAAGGCAGGGTAAAAACCGTAAAAAAAATATGATTATAAATACCTTTTTTATAAGTAGAAACATTTAAATACTCACTACCAGCTTTCACTGGTTTGGCTATAGTTCAACTTCCTTATTTTAATTCTCTGCTGATGGGTATTATCTACTTGCTTTTTCAACAGAGGGTTCAGCCACACTGTGTTCTACTTGACAAACAGGTGAGGGTCTCAAGTTTCCAACGGCCTGAAAAACAGGACTTTTTCCCCCTTGCTTTTCTGGCTGTCACTGCCGATGTTATCTGTCATTCCACAACAAAGATTTCTGTGCAGTATCTTCAGAAATGAACGGCAGTATCTGTCTTCTCTCTCAACCGGCGCTATTCAGTGTCCTTCCTTTCTGCACGGTTACTCAACCCTGTGCGCTTCTTTGCCCATTATTTTATCCCTCTTCTTCCCTCTGATTCACTAGAGTGGAAATTAAGCAGTCAGTTGTTGCTCAGCGAATACGGGGCCAGACTCACTCAATACGCCTCTGGCTGCTCTGTGCCACTGAGCAATGTACAGCAGCCATACATTGCATCTATGACTGCTGCGAAGCACTGGAGCAAGGCAAGACAACCAAAGTGCTCAAGTGTATTTGGAGTTTGTCACCTCTTTCAGTGCTTCCCCTTGCCTGTACCCCCTTGGGGCAGGGATCTGTCTAGGACTTGTCTGCAAGAGACATATCCAGAATGGGCCATACTCTAAATTGCTTTATTCACTTTGCCCTTGGCCTCAGGGTACCCTGCAGTCCGTAGGTAAAAGACCAACGGGAAACGCAGAGTATACATTTTAAAATCAGCAGGATGCCAAAAAAAAAAATAAAAATCACAATGACAAGCTCCTAATGCTCCCTCTTGCAAATCTCTAGAGAAAAAACAACATCTTAGGGAAAATCTGGTGTGCAATTAATACACTCCACATTTTTGCTGCCCTCTGGGCTCAGCTGAAACGCGAGCCAGAGCTCAGTCCCCAAGGACTTAAAAATCCCAAACCAAAGAAGTACTGCACAAAATGACAAAGCGAAGACTGAAGAGTCCCAAACTTATAAAAGAAAAGTTATTTTAAACCTTCATGCAAACTCGTCCAAAGCCAGGGGTACCTGGTAACACTATTCCAGTTTCCCCATGGCACACCTCCACCTCTTGGGCTTGGCTGATGCACCACCCTTCATTGCAAGGCCGATTTTGGCACTAATATACATACATTCCTGCATACTCATTTCAGAGCTTGCCATGGAGCTGCCTGTGCTGTCCTTGCAGTGTGACAGAAGAACTGCGCGTGCATCACACAAACATCCCAAACTCAGCCCGGCAGAGCTTGTCCCTGCTCCTCAGTGCCTCCCCAGCAAAACAGCTTGAAGGACCTGATGGCCAAGAGCAACTTCAACACCAGATATATCAGTGGTTCTGTGACCTCTTTGGCTTTCAGGGCACAATATGGGGTTTACAGCCCCAAACTCACCCAAATACAGAGAAATCATCAAAAAAAATCTAAGTTCCCCCCCAATGTTCCTCTACTTAGACAGATATCTGCACTCATTTATACACCAGTTGTTGCAAAACATTTGATTCCTGAAGTGCTGGCACCTATGGTGCACAGACTCCAGGACCTGCAGTCGGACTTCACTTTCTCTCAGGCATAGAAGGCTGCTGGCTTTCCATGGACTATGTATTGCTCTTGGCACCACACAGCTATTTGCATCATGCAAAGGCAGATCAAAGGCCAAAACAGCAAAAAATAAGACAAGCAGTCTTTTGTATACCACCACGAATGACTACACAATGTGGAAAGTAATAAAACAAGTCTGTTTATTTGGAATGGGTAGTAACGTTTGGGGCAAGGCTGTGTTGCATCCTCAAACATCCCATAGTTTGGTCCCAAACCAGCTCTGCCACCTAAAGCAGCATTTTCATCTGTGAGTCCATCTCAGAAGAAAAAGAATGAGAGAGCCAGAATATAAACTTGCAGTTCCAGTTACTGCAGGTCTGAAGTTACTGCTCCAACCTTCCTCTTCTCACCTATTGTAAACATGCTTCACTACCATACACCTCCTATATTTGAAGCTTTTATTTGTATTTCAAGGAGTTTGAAAACATTTAATCAAGCTATTGCTTGAGCATACAGCAAATTCACCAAATGACACCTCAAGTATCACTGAATTAAGTTTTTTATACATATCTGTATACAAAGTGAGTGACCAAGGCAAGCAAGAAGTCTGCACTGCCTACACTCATGAAATACCTAATGTCATCCATGTTCCAAATTCTTTGCCTCCTCCCTCTCCTTTATTATTCAAATCCCACTGTCTAAACCAAATCAAAATTTCCAATGACATAAAATTAATAAAAGTGCCCACTGGACAATGTGATTCAAATGATCTGTGCTGAGGCATCTAGCAGAAACCCAACATAGATGTGTTTGTTTTGACTAAAAATATAAGTTCTGTAAAGACTATAAAATATTTTTCGCACATTTCACAATTTGCTTCTTTGGAAAGACTGCCAGACTTCTTTATATATATTCATTTAGAGTCTGAACAGAGGCATGAAGGTTTTGCCGCTCTCTTGTTATTTTTCTTTAATTAAGCGCTCCTACTTTCAAGAGAAAATAATACAAAGTATCTTTGACCTCCTCTTTATCTATGTATTACATCTTAAGCAAATGCACATATCTGGAAAACAGCTTATACTCCCACTGCAAGTAATAGCTGGACCCTACTATAGAAATTAAGTGTGCAGGACAGATACCAGGCAAATTGCTGTTTAAAGCAAGCCTGAAAATGGTAGTTAACCCTGAACAGTCCCTAAAATGTGGTGTTGCAGGTTATACTGCTCAAGTAAATGCTGACCTTACCTAGGAGGACTATGTTTACGAGTAGGAAATCCACTCAATCATCATAACTTTTTTTATTTTTTTATACAGGAACAGGGGACTAGAATGTCTTTGAGTTCAGTCTTCTGCTCTCATAAAGTACCATGTGAAGTTCAAGAGGTCATGAAACATCCAAATGAAAAAAAAATCCATTTTCTCCCACAAGCTCACGTACCAAATTATTTCCCAGCACCACAAAGCATTCTTGAGATCTACAACACAAGGGCCAATGGGAAAGAAATAAAAGGAACAAAAGCATTGCCAGCTGCCTTTGCAATACCAAAACACTTCACTAGCTGCAAACCCCACATGGTTGGTATTCCAATGTGCAGAAAAACTCTCCTGACCCCACATTTTGCAATTGTGGCAATCATGACTATGTGAGGATGATGCACCATGCAGCTACACACCAGATTTTCAAGCACAGTGTGAGAACACCAGCATCATGAGCTCAGCATCCTGACACCAACACACAGCAGCTAATGAATACAAAGAGACAGAATATCACGTAGAAGCTCAAACCTGGAAAGAAACCCTATGGTCTCTGTTGTTTGAAGCAACCTGCGCCATGACTCCTTAGTTCAGCCTGTCAACCTGACCAGCAAGGCAGACGGAAAACATCTTGCCTTCTTACAGAAATGAGACTATGGGGAAAACCTTAAAGCTAATCATATCAGCCAGTGCTTTGAGTTAACAGAAGACCTGGAAAGCGTTCAAGGGAAGGAGTGCGAAGTGTC